TCTCTCCTCACCCTCCCATGGTGGTCTCTCCTCCACCCCCATCACTGGTCTTTCCCCCCATTCTCCTCACCCCCCCTCTCCTACCCTGTGTAGCATGGCAAAGTTCCGGTCCGCGATACAGGAATTTCTGTTTCCTGTACCCGGTCGAAATCTTGCCAGTCCGGCCGGGTACAGGAAATGGATGCTCCTGTACCGCAGACCAGACCGGAGCTCGGTCACACTACACTGAGGGATTGGCAGGAGGGATTGCTGTGCGCTTCCCTCCTGCTGATCCCTCATAGCTTGCGCCCCTGTGCCGGTGCCCCCTCATGGACGCGCCGGCCCGGGCAGTGCTGCAGCCGCCTGAGGCTCTTTATAGAGTACTCAGGCGGCTGCAGCATGAGGGGGGCTGGAGTCTCAGGTCCCTTAACCCTGCAGTGGTAATTAATGCAGTTTTAATATCCTGCAATAATTACCTGCCAGGGTTAACTCCACCTCTCGTAGCTGTCTACAATATATATCAAAACAGCCCAACCATAACAAATGGTGAGGTAAGCAGGAATATTAGTTAGAGAGAAACTGTCCAGCAGGATGATATAAATACAAAAGTAAAAAAAAAAAAAAAAAAACTGTAAAGAAGAGAATAAAAAGAAGACACAAACAGAGAATCACACGACCATGGCAGACACTGGAGAAGCTGGGAAGATTGCATCAAAAGCTTTCTTTTGTTGGGGGTGGTGCTAGGCATTATGGATTCACTTATGTATCTGTACGTTTACTGGCGAGTGTACCTATATCCTGGAGGAACATGATGCATTGACAAAGAGGCAACCCGAAACATTTGCTTTACTTTCTATTGTGTCCGTTATAATATTTGTATATATGAAAAAAAAAGAATTTACTCCATCGGAAAGATTTGTCATACCAGGGTGCCATATTTGCACCCAACGCAATGTCTTCTACAAAATAATTTCAAGTAAGGTGGTCACAAAGTCTCTCGTCAAGAAGAATCCGGGAAAGTTTCTTCTGAACTACAGATGTATAAAGGTTAGGGTATTGATGTATAAAGTTTAGCCACATCTAGCATGACCAAAATGTCAGTGATTTCAATGTGTAGAAGCCTTAGTTGTAATGATGCCCAATGATACCCTGAATGGCTCCTACACACCATAGGCCCACTGTGACAAACAATCAGCCACGATTGACAGTGGATGCCTTACTGCAGGAGTACATGCTCGGATCACTTCGGATATTACTGGTTGTGTCAGTAGAGAGGCAGTCCATCAACAGTGGTAGATGTTTCCAATGATGTCTAATCATCTTGGGAGAAAATAATTGTTATTATTATTATTATTATTACTACTACTGGTAGTTATACATCTAAAATTAGCCTTATAAGGAACCCTCCAAGCACTGTAGTGTGCTGTAGTGGTTATAATGGCTGGAGTACCCTGCTGCCTAAACAACTTAACTTGTCAAACCATTTTACAACCAGCATAAAAGGTCCATCAGGTGACACTCCCCACCTCTTTTCTTCAGCTCTGTTAGCCAGGAGCTCCTGCTGAGAGCTTTATTTAGGCCTCCTCGGTTACGTCCTGCAGTGCAGGGCTGGCACTGTGGCTGAGAGTGTTAGCTGATTGCTCTAAGCAACAAGCTAGTTTGCCATACATAGCTTAGAGTTGAGAGCTTTCAGTTCTTACTGAGGCAGAGAACAGTGGCCAGCAGACCCCAGATAAGAATCCACTTTATAAATGGTTTGACTGCTTACACTGGCTAAGGGGCAGGGCAGGCCCTTCACAGCATCATAATCTTAATTAGTTATGGCATTTTAGGTGCTCATTAAAGTATTCTGCTAATTTAAAATGTTTTTTTTCTTTCATGTAAGTTTAAAAGTCTAATGTGTTTTATAGTTTTCATTCAAAAGTGCACTCTTATGGGGATCAAGGCTATACATTTCCATTATGTTACTCCTCACATATTTTACAACACTATTAGTTTTCTTTGCCATATAAATTTAGAAAATGTTTTTTTGAGATTGGTGCCTGTGTTTATATTTTGTGTACCTTGTTAGACTAAATACATTTTATGTAGCTGTAAAATATCTATATTTAGCATTTTCATATAGTTATTAATGCAATTCAATATTGAACTTTAAATAGAAAATAATTTACAAATGTCTGTTGTGGGCAGAAATACATGTTATTATGTGTGTCTGGGAGCAATTGCTGCTGTTCCAAGCAGCGAAGCAATAACCAGCAAGGGATATTAAACTTAAAAGATTAATGAAGTGATTACAGCACAACAGGAAAACATAAGTAGCCAGAACCTACACAACTTCAATAGAACCCACACAATTCACAGAGAGTCAATGTTCAACATTGTTCGAAATATTTGAGGTCTGCTAAATCAGATCAAATCTAATGCTGAGTAAAAAAAACCCCAGCAAAAGCGTCTCTTTGGGAGTTATTATTTAGTCACCGTTATTATAATAAAATAGGCTACTGGGCTTGGGATTCAAGACAAATTGGAGTGTTAACTCCTTAGTGACTGTGGTTTTGCTCAGATATCAAGCGTTCATGACTAAGGCTGTTTTGGCACTTTTGGTAAGTGGTTGAACTGTGTTTTAAGCTTTCTCATTAAGTGCACCCACACATATTTTGGGGGGCTGATTGTATAGACGTAGGAATTGGACTTGTGCATGATGGGAAGGTTTGGCTCGACCAAATAATATTTTCTAAATATGTAAAAAAAATTCTGGATGACACTTGTTCATGTGACAATTTTGTTAGGCCGAGTGTCATCCATGGTAATATATTTTAAGGGGTACGAAGAAAAGAAAAGTTTTTTTTTCACAGGTATTACTAGAGTGAGGTACATGCTACTACTTGTGGGGGTGGACAATGGAATGTCTATCCTTTATTGTTTTATTCATTAGAGCCCTCACCACCACCCTTTAGAGTGCCCCAGGCAGGACAATAGGTACTCTCCCTGAATACTAATTAGGGCCCCAACCCGCTGCCACACTAGGTATCCCCCCTTTTCAACTCAATATAAGGGTTCCTATCTACCAACCATTGATGACTACTGGGGCGAGTATAATAGATTCTCCTGTAATATTATAATTAGGGCTCCTAACTTCAGCCCATAGGTGAGGGTAGGACACTAGGTTATCATTAGGGCCCCCACCCACTTCCACTGGCTGGTTGCACTGCCAGCTGGCATATAGTTTGGATTTCTTTTAAATCCGCATCCGAATTTAAACTATACAGGTCCAGATTTGAAGAACTCAGGTCCAGATGACAATTGTTCCAGCTAAAATCTGGATCTATTGGCATTTTCAGAGTAGTGTGAAGCTAATGTTCCATTACTCATGCTGCACTTTTGAATAAGTAACTCTTAGTATGTAGTGGTACCAAAGTCACAGGATAGTTTGAGATATTTTCATTACAAATTTTCATCAGAAATGGAGAATATAGTGGACTGTAGTAAATATGGTACTTGGAGTTCCTTTTTAAAACTGATGCCTATTTCTTTAATAAGGACAAATAATCCTAGGCGAACCACACTTATTTCCTGGACTCTCTGCTTTTCTCTACATGCTAAATGAACGTTTGGAAGCCCATTGCATTGACTGCCCACACATCCTAAACAGGGATTATACCGTCCAAGCGCTACACAGCAGAGCTCTTAGCAGCTCTAGAAAGTGTGAGTTAGTCTTCTATTGGTTAAAATCTTTTAAATTGATGTGATATAATTATTTTCTTTCTTTCTGTTTTGTTATGAGGATTTTTAAAGACAAAAATTATTGATCTCCAATATTGTATTTATATATTTCACATAAATTTCTTTCTTTTGACGCGGTCAACTACATCTGTTTTTTCATGTTTTGTATTGCAAGGAAGGTTTGGGAATCCCTGCTGGTTCACTGCTGCCTTCCACTTAACTACAATAGTGAGTGCCTATTTCTGTACCTTTGTATCAAACATGACACGAACAATGGCTTAATAGGTTTGTTTCCTTTGTGATTATGTGTTCCATTCATGGCGCAAAAAAAACCCCGAAAAACAAGATGCTTGATGGTTTGGGGACAGTTATAATTAAAATAAATAAATGAACAAAATGGATAATTCATAAAGAAATAAACTGGACTGAATGTTTAAAATACTGAATGCTCAAAAATAACTAAGCACTCAAAATAGCAAATATTGACCAAATGTAAACTGAACTAGAGTAGGACCTGCCAAGAATGGGGTACATTAACGTTGTGGCAGGCTTATGCAATATATGATCATATAATGTAACTAAACCCCCATTATTTTTTTGCCTAGGTGAGGTGTTTTTAAATAAAACTATTACAATCTCTAAGATTTGAATTGTTGTTTAGTGAATAAGTGAGTGCGCTGGGTTGTGTATTTTGTTATATATATATATATAAAAAATATATAAAAAAAATACACAACCCAGCGCATACTTCAAATATACAAATATACTTCAAATATTGGAAAGGAGTAGGCACTCGCAGGACTTTGTTATGAAAAAGTAAAAAAGTTTAATTGTGCAGCGTCAACATTTCGGACCCACTCGTGTTCCTTTCTCAAGGTAAATTACAATCATTGCAATATCACGTATATACCAAATGCATGTGATTACTTAATTTACTTACTTCATCTGTGTGTATCCCATCACCATGAAAGATGAAACCGGAACCCAAGTGCATGCCGGAAGTGAGTAACAGTCTAATCCCTCCCAAAACGGTTCACCTGTATATCGGACTCATCAACAACACAATTGTTGTAAAATAGTTCTGGACGGGTATATGTGTGGAAAGTGAAAAAGACATACCTAGATATAGAAATAATCCGTGAAATAAAGTGAAGTTGCCTTTTATCCATTATAAAAATGGACAAAAGGCTACTATGAGATAGGGAGGCAAGACTTATTTAAAGGGAAGAAAATATCTTAGAGGGACTGGATAATAAATCTTAATATAAAAATAGATGGTAAAATTAAATGTCTCCATCATTAAATGTAACTTAGTATGGTTATCTACCCAATATATTTCTTAGTAACTCCATCACACAGAGATGAGTTCTATGAATATAGGGTCATTGGCTATGGATAGTCGTAAAGAGAAAAGTAAATCACTGCTAACTGACTAGGAAACACACGTATTACGTATCTGTAAATCCTATATAACTGTAACATTATCATTATCATTGTAAATAGGAGAATTCATATGTATGTAATTGGTCTCCAGTGAGGACCAGCATTAAATTAAATTAAATAACTGAAAATAATTGAAAATAATAATAATTAACAATTAATAAACATCATCATTGTTAAAGTCTAGGCAAAAAAGATGAAAAGGAGATATAGTGTTGAAAGTCTTTATCCAAAAGGTCTCACGCTGTAAGAGCAGACGAGCTCTATCACCTCCTCTGGACAGTGGTGGTACTGTGTCAATGCCAATGAACTTTAACGGGGTCAGTGAATGTCCCATCTGCATGGTATTTAATATCAAACTGTTTATTGATGTGTGGATGTAGAAAAGTCCTAGTTTGTAACATGTGTCCACATGTTACATATCATGTACATTTGAAACAGCCAGGTTTAAGGGTTCTATTGTGTAACTATTTTTTTTCGTAACAGTGTTTCGGGTCTCTGGATACTAATAAATCTCTGCAACCTCTGTTAAAACTGAAAGTGGGATGTTGTTTGAAATCATTAGGTAAAGTCTTATCACTTCATAAGAAGTTCCAATGTGTTTTAACTGATTTAGATATAAACTCAGATGCCGATGCATACTGAGTATTATATTGTAGTTTTGAGATATTTTCATTTTTACTTTTTGACAACAATGTGGTCTGATGAAGTTGTTTCACATTTTCTTTTGCTTTAGATAATTGTGTATCCAACAAGGACGTAGAATAGCCTCTAAACAGGAAGCAATTATACTTTTCTTGTAGTTGATCTTCAGCTTTGACTGAACTTGAGTTGTTGTGGAGAACTCTAAGAAATTGAGTATATGGAACCGATTCAAACACATGCGGTGGATGAAAGCTTTGTCGGTGTAAGACGGTATATTTATCTGTGCTTTTCTTGTATAATGTGTAAGTTAGGGAATTATTTTCCCGTGTTATTGGCAGATCCCAAAAATTGATTACATTCCTGCTATATTCATGTGTAATTTTAATAGGACCAGGATGGGTATTGATCTTATTTATTAAGCCCTCAAAGGATTTTTCATTTCCCAACCAATTGATAAAGCAATCATCCATGTAGTGTTTGCATAATAAAGTAGACTGCTGAAAAAATTATTTCAAGATGGTTTCCTTGTACTTGTACATATAGGCATTAGCATATGAGGGGGCCATAGCCGCCCCTATCGCCATGCCAGTCTTCTGAGTATTTGTTCTCGAAACTAAAATAATTTAAACTTAATGTTAACCTCAGTACTTCCAATTGGTTTTCTACATTCGGTCCTTGATAGTAAGGAGATACGTGTATTAATTCTCTTACTGCCTCTATCCCCTCCTCATGGGGGATCACGGTATAAAGACTGGAGACGTCCATAGTTGCCAAAAGTATAGCCCCATCTGTTAATTGTAGTTGTTGTAAGATTTTAATTAAAGAGCCCCTATCACATAGGTAAGAATCAAATTGTTTAATGGGTTCCTGTAAATAATGGTTAATCCATTTCCCTAATGGTTCCAGGATGCCCCCTATTGCAGAAACTATAGGTCTGCCGGGGGGTGACACAATGTTTTTGTGTAATTTTGGAATGGTGTAAAGTATCAGTATTTTTGGATAATTTTGAATAAGGTACTTCATCTCATTTTGAGCAAGGGTGACAGCCTCAAAACCTCTGGTGATAATTGCTCATGTAGCTTGCATAAATTTCTTTGTTGGATTGAATGTAATATGTTCATAAGTATCAGCATCTGATAATTGCCCCATGATTTCTGAACGATAGTTTTCATAATTGAGGATGGTGATTCCCCCACTCTTATCCGCAGGGCGAATAACAATATGTGGATCTGTGGATAAATCTTTTAATGTTTTCTTTTGTAGAATTGTTAGATTATATGAAATTTTTGATTGTTTTACAAAGTATTGTTCTGCTTGAACTTGCAATAATCTTTGGAAGGTTGTAAGAGAAAAAAATCCCTGTATTTGGATCAAACAAACTTTTTAATTTGAATGTTGATGTCTCACTGCCATTCACTGTTGGTCTGTGACTTTTAGTTTTATTGAAAATGATTTAAGTCTCAATGTGTGATTAAATTTAAACTGCTCCACATCCCAGTTAAACCTTCTGATAGGGTTGGTAGGAACAACATTTAGACCCAATGATAAAACCTCTTTCTCAGTAATAGTGATTTGAAGGGTGGATAAATGAAATATGGATATTACTGTTTCGGTATTGGATGTTTTGTTCTGATATTTCTTAGATTTGTTTTTCTGGCTCCTCCTGATGCCCCTTCCTGGGGTTCATTTGTTCCGGTGTCCAGATGATCCCTTGTATTTGCAGAATGTGGGGTACTTTGGTCTAAAAAATGACTTCGTGCAATACCCTGTATCTGGATACATTCGTAATGTTTTCTGTGTCAGAGGTAGACGTGGAATAAGCTGAACTTTGATCAATGGTAAACTGTACTGTTTTTTTTCTTTTACTCTCTCGTCTCTGACCTGATCTCTAATTCTGTGGGCGGGGAGCATTGGAACTAAGTCACTCTGTGTCGCTCATAATCCTCATTTACTTTATTTAACTTTTGTCATTTGAAATGTAATAAATCATTCTTATAACTATTAATTTGTTCTTGCAACTTAGTGATAAGTGTAGTATTAGATGTTGCAATAAGGGGTGCTTACATAGGCTCATATTCCAGTATTTGTTTATGAACAGTTGTTAATTCATCTTGTACATCCTCAATTATATCAACCATTAAATCTAAAGAGCATTTATTTTATATACATATCCACTTTTTGCATATATATATAGTTAATACATTACTAAACACAAATACACACACTAGTCAAGCCATAAGACTTGCTTTTCCCACAGAAATCTCACTTTAACAGTGCTCTCACCACTGCAAGGGATTCTGGGTAGGTGTATGCAAATGAGCTTGCCACGTCAAGGCAGACCTCTTAGGTGGGTCCTAACTCTAACCATTCGCCTTGCTTCCTTGAGCTTCTGGCAAAAATCTCTCTAATGAGACAGAAAGGGGTATTTTTTATATACATCCCTACATGCTTACTAGCCCTTAATAGGGAACACATGGGATGGGCAGCAGCATTGTAACCTAGCTGTGTAAACTTTATTATTTTTTGCAATTGGAGCGAGGGGGGACTTTATGTCCTAGTGAGACCAGAGAAGCTATAAAGGCTTCTCGTAGGTAAAATTGGCTAAGTCATTAATAACAAAAAGAAAACGGGGAAAAAAAAAAAAATATATATACATATACATATATATATATAGATATATATATATATTTTTTTTAGTTACCTCCAATGGCAATGAGAGGGTATGCCCACCTGCCACGTCAAGGCAGACCTCTTAGGTGGGCCCTAACTCTAACCATTTGCCTTGCTTCCTTGAGCTTCTGGCAAAGATATCTCTAATGAGACAGAAAGGGATATTTTTTAATGGGTGCCCTCGAAGGCACAGCAGAGTAGGGAAAAATCAGTATTTTCATTAGCTTTACACTGCAGGGCTCCTGCTTATATGTTTAAATAAAATATTACCTACTTTTTATATACATTTCTGGTAGGTATTAAACAAAAATTATTATACAATTATAATAATTTGTTTAAAGGACCACTATAGTGCCAGGAAAACATACTCGTTTTCCTGGCACTATAGTGCCCTGAGGGTGCCCCCACCCTCAGGGACCCCCTCCCGCCGGGCTCTTGGGAGAGGAAGGGGTTAAACCTTTCTCCAGCGCCGGGCGAGGAGCTGTACTCCTCCTCTCCTCCTTGCTCGCGACGTCATCGGCTGAATGCGCATGCGCGGCAGGAGCCGCGCGCGCATTCAGCCGGTCGCATAGGAAAGCTTTTCACAGTGAGAAGCACGCAAGCGCCTCTAGCGGCTGTCAATGAGACAGCCACTAGAGGCTCTGGAGGCTGGATTAACCCTCAGTATAAACATATAAAAAAAAGGGTTAATCCTAGAGGTACCTAGCACCCAGACCACTTCATAAAGCTGAAGTGGTCTGGGTGCCTAGAGTGGTCCTTTAATATACATTCCTACATGCTTATTAACCCTTAATAGGGAACACATGAGATGGGCAGCAGCATTGCAACCTAGCTCTGTGATACAAAAGTGAATACAAAAATACAAAGAAACTATTAAACAGAATATTATTTTTGTTTAATAAAATAATATTAAACAAAAATATAAAGAAACTAGTCCTGCACTCAAACTCCCATTACTCCTGGGCGACAGCAATGACCATAGTAGACATCAGCCAAAATACATATAGTAAAAACCAAAGAAAAAAAAGGTTACCTTTCTGCACAACTGTCAGGTCAGCAGTCTTCCCCATGATTATGATTCTTACTGAACCAGACTGAGAGACCATTTAAAGGCTCAGAAACCCTTTGCAGGTGTTATGGCTTATTTAGCTGATTAGAGTGGGACACTGTGAATTTGGGGTTTTCATGAGATGTAAGCCATAATCATCGCACTTATGACAAATCACGGCTTGAACTATCTTGCTTTGCATGTAATGCGTCTATTTCATATATTAATTTCCCCTTTTACGTTGCATTACTGAAAAAAATGAACTTTTGCACGAACTTTTGTTTTTCGAGTATCACCTATATATGTTTTATAGACACATCTGTCTTTATAATTTCTGGTGCTACCTTTATCCCCCTTGTTTGACTCACCTCTGTTGTTTATAAGGCTTAGAGGGAGCCTTATGTTTTAAGGTGTGTCGCCTACTTTAAGTCCCAGATATTTTAGATGTATATGCCAATTTATAGCATAAATTGAATTGAGCAGGCAATCTCATTATGCTATTATTATTTATGCCGTTATGGACATGCTCCTCAGATAGCCTCTCCTATCAGACGAAGCAAGAGATACTGATGCCTTTGTGAGCTGACATACACTTTCTCGCAAACACTACTGGAACTGGGTCAACTCATATCCTCAAGTCTGGAAGTACTGGTACGCTCTAGGTGCGGGAACAGACCAGAGCCCTGGGCCGATACTGCGTTCCCTACTCATTAGCTCTTTTGG